AATCTGACAATCATAATATGTATATACATAATTAACTCACTATAATAATACTCAGCTGTATATGCCTATTTGTTTCAATGTTTCATTATGATAAATTATATTATCCCATTTCAGGTTTGTATTACCATCAGTGAACCCGTACGTATTATGTAGGTATTGTAATAATACACTACAAGTTATCTCTGCTATTATTTGCAGTATAAATCAATTATAATGTATAGGGTATACCTGCTACATTTTAAAGTTATTTAAATTCTCTTGTATAAAACGGCCTTTTTGTCTTGTCGACGTCTATCTGCAGCCTTTACAAGTCATCCTTAATTGTGTAGATACGTATATAAGTATATAACTAACATTCGGTGTATTCTCTCTCAATGTCTATCCACTTAAATTTATCCAAGCTGTGATTTTTTGCCTGTCTATACTACTTGAGTGTATAACTTTTTGTATTTTTTTTTCTCTCTATTAACATACACCTCTTGTAAATGTACTAATTTATACTTTTATAATATACATATATTCTGCACTTTAAGAACACTTACATTTTAAAAATGTCATCATTATATTAATCAGTTATTATTTTTTCGCTTTTATTTCTCTGTACTTATATAAAATCTGAGTAATATATTTCCTCTGAATAAACTTTTGAGCATCTTTTAACATTTATTTTTATTCCTTTTATTCGATCGTAAATACTTAAGTAAGTATTTACGATTGAATAACAGTGATTATTGATTATTTACTTATATTATATGATTAGTTCTAACTGTAAATTTGATTTAAAAAAAAAAAACTTTAATAATATTGTTATTTTTACTGGTTTTGATTTTTATATTGTGATATAATTGTGAGATTTTTGAAAATAACAATTAAGTACTGTATGAAATAAAAGCATACTTAATAAGGGATGCTTCAGATATCAGATATTTTATACAATATGACGTACGATTTAAATTTTAAATTTTTTTTCTGACTTTTTAGTGGTTAAAACAATTGAGTTAGAACTAAAAGCGTTCGTACAAAATAAATAATTTTACCTACCGAATAACATACCTAATATTGTATAGAATAGAAAAAATAATATAAAATGATTTTAATAAAATATCAACGTGATAAACAAAAATTATAGATCATTAACTTACTACCCACTCAAATTATTGATAAATTAATTAACCCTTCAAATTATTTCTATTAGGAAAAGTGACTCTTCGCACAAGTCATCGTTGTAAAATCATTACAGTCTTCGGATACAAAAAGATTACTTAAAAAAGATACTGAGATATCAAAATAATTATTGAAAAATGTATAAAACAACTTAAGACCAAAACAACAGCAAAATTCGACAAACGTCGATAATTGTAGATAATCGATGCTGGTCTAACAGATATCGTTTCACACCAATAATTTCGTGGCCATCAGCTACGAATATGTGCCTGTGCTTAAAGTTTATTACAGTACGTATGATGATGTAAAATCTAACAATCGTCCTTTTTCCTTGAACGTTGAGTATTTTACTGTTAGCTACTGTCCTTATCCGGTATTAGAAATTTACACTTTTTTAAACAGATTTTACCCTACGACCAAGACCAAGTGGGTTTTGATATTCGTAAAAATTGTAAATCGGGAAAACGTACGGTATTCAGGGAATACATATAAATATAAAATGGACAAGGATTTATTAAATGGGGGAAATTTGTAAGTATTTTCACACAATTCCTTAATCTACAGTTAATAGAATTTCGGGACGATTGTTGTAAGCCTAAGCTCTAACCACTGCAGTAGATGATGGTCTACTATATGTACCTTAACTTATCACAGCTTAAAATAATAACGGGATAATAATCACGCAACCACAGAAACCATTGTCCTCGGCAGAGTATTTACTCTTATATTTTAGTGTAAGGACTCTGCAGCTATAACCATCCAAGTTTACTAGTCAAGTTTTTGTACCAACACTAAAACATTGTAAGTGAAACAGCGTATTCGATAAAATATAACTTACATACCGTATGACATATACTATAAATAAAGTGTTTATTGATACTGCAGTTGTACCCATATTAGATTGACGCTTGATTGAAATAGGTGACACTGATGGTGATACCCAAATAAGTAATAAGTAATAACCATGGCTAGGCACTTATAGGAGTTTTCATGTTAACTAATATTCGTTCAAAACATAGGTTAGGGATAATAATATTATAGAAATTTTTTTTTTGCAAAATTTTATTTTTTTTCACATGTTTGTGCATATTTTGTTATATTCTCATTTCAAGTGCATATTTTACATAGGTATATTTTCAAAATAAAATAAATTTGTTCTTTAAATTGGTAAAAAAAAATGTAATTAGGTATGCCTAAAATAATATTCAAAGAAATTAGTGTGGGTGTTTTCCTCATCCGCGGTAGGTACCATTTATAGTTGAAATTATGTATACCACCGATATGCTCTTATCAATTTGGGTATTAATTAATAATTATTGAATTAACTAAAGTAAATGTGATAGGAACGACAGGGTGCCAACGGAGAGTTAGATCAAAACCGCACATCTCTTTTTCAGATTTTAAAGTCTATACGTTTTAAAAAAATAATGGCTGTTTAATGAGATTTAATCAATCGATTTTAATCAACAAGTAAATAAACGGCCGTGGTCTGATAAAATGCCGATGACAACATTTTTCACTTTTTTTTTTATTTATTTATCGATTGACATATAAATACATAATTCACAGTGGATCTCAATAAGTCTAAATTCAAAGGAATTTAAAGTTTTTAGATTTTTAAGGTTTTTGACTTATCGATGAGGTTTGACCTATAGAGGTTCCACTGCTCTATTAATAACAATTAATATTATACACCAGTAATACAATGGTTCCCAACCCGGGGGAATTCCCCGAGGGAGGAATTTAGATACTGCAGCATGGGGGATTATGCATACCTGAAGTATATATTTATATAGTATTTCATCACTTTATTTGTATTTTGTATAAATACCTAATATAATGATGAAATAACGAGAATTGTCTTGCCTGCAGTGGCCTCCTTTTGGTGACCCCTGCACAACAAAATATTATATTCTTGAAAACAGTTTGTTATTTTGTATATAAAATATGCATAGCTAATAGTCGATTAACAAGTAGTATAAAACTGTATTTAGTAATAATAAAATGTCAGGCTCCGTCTTTCTTGAGAATTTATAAAATTTAAGGGGAATATTATGGTACCTATTTAAATATTTTATTATAATACGCTGTATAGAAATATATATAGATGCTTATAGATATAGTAGATATGGCCATATCGGATTATATCGACTAAATATAGGTAGGTACTTCATTTATGGGCCGTGATTTTTTAGATCACCCCCACTATCGTTGGAAGTAAGCCTTGGTTTTTTATTATACACTACAACAATTGTTTTAAAATTACCTAGCTTAAAGTTGAATAAAAATTAATATTACCGTTTAAAATAAATTCAAGCTGCAGTTAATCAATATGGGGTCTCGGAAGGTAAGCTGTATACGTATTAACAATTGTATTTAAAAATGTTATCACTCATCAAATAACCAAAACCTAACCAACCACTATACCCTCCCCCATAAAACAACATATCGATACAGTAGTTTTAAAGTGAATTATGAGTATTTAAAAATTGTAAATTGTTTGTACATCTTAAAATAGGTACTCATAATAACTCTCTTTAAAATTAAAATATAATAAAAAGCCTACAAGATTGCCTATAGATAATAATCTATTACCTTTAAATATTATAAGAAGTTAGTTCACTCTAGTTTTTAAACCAACTGAACTAAACGTGATCTGCTGAGAGTACAATTTTCTATGTTACGCACTTTTAAGTTGCAAGACGGATACAGCACATGCGAGTATCACGTTATCTTAATAACACGTTATCGTAGTAAATTGTAATGTCCGCGTGACATTATTATTGTTTTTGGGAAGTCGGTTAGAACTCGGTTTCGAGTAGTTAATACTTATATATTATACTTATATTACTTTGTTATAGTTCATAGTTATAGCCTATAGGTATTCGTTCAACTTTTCTTAATACAATAAGTTTGCCTTGTTATTTATGTTTACATCCGGTACTAACTCGGTAATAATGTTATTGCTGATGTACCTACCAATGTGTCGTTTTTCTATGATCGTATTTCACTGAGACGTGCTATGCTTTTTTATAGTTATACCTACGCACAATGTATACCTACCAGTTAACTAGGCTACCTAGCCTACAAACTTCCAACTATATTATCTAAAATAGTAAAATATAATATTCAGTTTGAGCATTAAGTTTCAATATCTTGATAAAATCTAAATATATGCAAATATAACTTAATTTGGTTCGAAACCGCTTGTAATCGAAAATACTAGACTGCTTTCAATCAAGTTATATCAATATATTTTATGGAACTTGTGATGTATTACTGATGTCGTAGGTCAGTATAAGCATAGATTAAATATACTATTAATAGTTAATTATGTTAATCTATGGTATAAGTCTTTTTTTAAAAATTGCTTTCTGTTTGCATTCTCGAGTTTAGAATCCAAACCGATTTACTCTCTCGAATTCAATGCAATTAAACCGAAACACTCCAAGCGCAGGCTCATCTCGATTGGATTTGTGCACAAAGCGAGGCACAGCGACACCGTGAATTGCATTTGAATTGAGGTACTTACATTCAATACGAAATACATCGCGGAACACCGTATTGTGTGATATTGTTCATTTTCTCCCGCAAAAAATCGGGTTTAGTGTAGTATTTTTAGGTTTCGTATTTTTTAAACGATTTAATTTTATAACAATATTATTGCCCCTAATAATGGCCATACTATATAAACAAAAATAAAATATGGCTTAACATTTACGTCGCCAACGGTTGTCAACGTGCTTCCAAGTAAACACAGTAAATAATATTATTCCACATTATTTTTCTAACATCCGATCTGTTCGTTTCGACCTAAGTCAAACTTTTTAGTGAAGATGTATTCGGTTACAATAACACTATGTCTATGTTTCTGCATCTTGTCGGAGTCAATGGGTGGGCTCGTGGTTATGAGTCGTGTCCCCCCGGATCCGAGGAAAAAGTCCGAAACAGTATTGCAACTGCAGCCGAGAGGACCGGAGTATAATATGGCCGCCGATCAAAAAGTTAAGTCGTCACCGCCACCACCGATCTGCGACTGTTCCCATGTATCCGAATTTCCTCATCAGCACGTCGTCGGTTCGCAGATAACCAGCCGCCGTCCACCGAACATCGACGGTCCGAAGGTAAACGAATACCGTCCACCGCACATCGGCTTCCCGAAGGTAACCGGTTACCGTCCATCGGCGTCGACGAACTGCCCAACGCAATGTCCACCCCGATGCACTATGCCTCCGTGGCCGACCCGCCGGACGCCACCACCATGCACGACTTGTCGGACTACGCAGCCGCCTTGTACCACTCGTCGGACCATACCACCATGTACTACGTGCTGGACCATACCGACATGCACCACTTGCACCTTACCGCCATGCACGACTCGTCGGACTACGCAGCCGCCTTGTACCACTCGTCGGACCATACCACCATGTACTACGTGCTGGACCATACCAACATGCACCACTTGCACCTTACCGCCATGCACCACTCGTCGGACCATACCACCATGTACTACGTGCCGGACCATACCGACATGTACCACTTGCACCTTACCGCCATGCACCACTCGACGGACCATACCACCATGTACAACTTGCTGGAACATACCACCATGTAGCACGTGCCGTACCAAGCCGCCATGTCCCTCGTGCCGGACGCTGCCTCCGTGTGACGAATGCCGGACAAAAAAACATCCGCCTGTATTGGCCATAAGTGTCGAAATTAACCTACCACAATAGGCCAGTGCGTCTAACGTGGTACGTTAATTTCGACTTGTACGGACCAATACCATTAGAGGTTTGTTCGTCCGGCATTCATCACACGTTGGCAGCGTCCGGCATGTTGTACATGGCGGATTTGTACGGCACACACTAAGCTTAAGTACACTTGTAAGTTCCGTACATTTGCTTGTTTAGTTTTGTAATTTATTTTGATAATAAAAAAAAAGTTTTTGTATATATTTAAATCTCTTTATTTTCGATGCAGTAGATCTTAGTAAGAAAAGTAGAAAAACTTAAGCTTGATGTGAAAGGACAAATATAATATACCATTACAGTCTACAACACAATTATTTTTATTTTTGTAACAGGTTTTTTGTATTGTTACTTTCAAAAAACAGATGACGATAATAATCGATGTGACAAAACTATTATGTACCAAGTACCTACCTATAGGTATTCAATTGTTTTATGAACTAATTTCGAGATGTAATTCTAACTGTACGCATACACTACAAAAACCGTTTCAAAAACCTAATTCAATTTTTTAAAGTACCAATTGGACTATCTTGTTATAACTATTATATTATTATTGATAAAGTATTAATAGTATTTTACCAGAAATATAAGGAGTATGCAATACATTTTTCACGAACGGTCTCGCATCCATGTCCTTGCTCAGCATTTTGGTCACCATTTCTTGTAATTGTGCCGGGAGTTTGGGCAATACATTGTGAATTTGACTGTCTAACCGAAAAAAAAAATATAAATACAACTAATGTACATCTTGATTATCAGTAAAAACATGTGCTGAAATAGATTTTAAATTTATGTGCTACAATATAATATAGTGCAATATAAAGTACCTAGATGCACACATTTCAGCAAAATATTATAAAGTTTATGTGATATTTATTGATTACGAATAATCAGTTAAACATGTATTTATAATAAGATTATTATAAATCAGTTTAATTGTATATGTTTCAACTTATAAAAAAAATTCAAATACTGAAAAACTTACTGTGCTGTAATATTTTACTTCACAAAGAAATATTCTCGAACAAATAAAGCTACACAAAATAACTAATCTAACGGACGTGAAAAGTTTAATAATATATTTTTATTTATGCGTACCTCTTATACCGTGTGTTCAATTTTAAAGGTAACAGGAAATATTTCGATCGTTTGGCCTTGAATTTGATTCGGGGTTTTTATACCGCATATAGGACTTATAAATACATATTTTTTTAATAAATTCAAATTTTTTTTTTTATCAGCGCATGCGCAGTAAAATAAAAATTTCTTAAATAGCAACCACTATTTTGGAGACCGGATTTCGATTTCTTTATTTTTTCTGAACAACTTTGATCTTTACAGTTTGATGATATCTTCAAAATTGCCATGTTTATGACTGTCGGAAGTTTTAAAATAGTTAATTCGTAAATAATTGTGTGGTGGATGATATCTCTCGGGATATCGTTCAGCATAAAGTGCCGCTGCGTTACGCGAATTTTGATGACATTCTCCAAAAATTAATACCATATCGGTTTTTTCGGAATAGTTTGCCATTGTACAGAAAATAATGTGTCACGCGCGACTTACGAAAAACGTTTGACTATTCACAATCAATTTTAGAATGCTATCAAAATATCTTATTCACACAGGTTAATAGTATAACTTTCATTATAATACTATTAAAAACAAATTAAGATAATAGTAGTAGATAATTTAGTAGTTTTAATAAAAATAAATTGTTATAATAATACCTATAAATACCTATAAATTAAGATAGACCGTTGAAAAATGCAATATTTACAAATTAACTATTTTAAAACTTCCGACCGTCATAAACATGGCAATTTTGAAGATATCAACAAACTGTACAGATCAAAGTTGTTCAGAAAAAATAAAGAAATCGAAATCCGGTCTCCAAAATAGTGGTTGCAATTTAAGAAATTTTTATTTTACTGCGCATGCGCTGATAAAAAAAATTAAAAATTTGAATTCATTAAAAAAATATGTATTTATAAGTCCTAAATGCAGTATAAAAACCCCGATTCAAATTCAATGTCACACGATCGAAATATTTCCTGTTACCTTTAAAATTGAACACACGGTATATATATACAGAGCACTGTAATGTGCATTATGACGTGTGTACTGTGTATGCAGTTAGTATGCAAGTATTAATTTTTTTGTGACAATTCGACAATTTGGCAAAGGAACAATTCATATGTCGGACGTCATGTGGTTGACTATCATTTTGAGCAAGGTCGCCAACCACAAGCCAGCCAACAGGACAAGGAAAAAAATTATATCAATGATAATAAATATAACAATCTCATGAAACAATATTTAAATAGATAGAAAAATGTGTATATTAATTTGGTGACTAGAAAGCCAAAACGGTATAAAATTATGTAAGAAGGCATTTGTATTGAGATAAAAATGCAATTGTAATGTAACTGAGTAGTTTTTTCAGTTGTATTATGGTCCGTATTATGGTCCCCCCCCCACTCTCAAACACTGAAATGACACCACTCAATGTACACACAATATTATATAATATCAAAAGGGATCAGACGGCAGTTGATGTCTGATGGTCCTTTTCACGTTTCACCATCGTTCTTCCAACGGACATCACCGGGGAAAACTTAAGCTGCCGCTACTCAAAACAATAAACTGATGATGTATTGGTCCGATTTGTCTCCGTAGGCTGTAGTCTGTATGAACAGAAGATAGCGAGGATGGAATAGACTGCCAGGTGTGAATTTTTTACGATATAAAGCGACTTCAATTGGGGCTCATTTTAAAGATTATAAAAACAGCTTTTAGAGAAAGCTGCAGCCAGCATGTGTTGTATCCGTCTCACAAATGCGTAACATCACAAATTTAAGCTCAGCAGATCAAGTTTAGCTTCGTTAGCTTAAAATTAGAGTGAATCGAACTATTATGAAACTTGATGGTATAAGGTCATTATTTAGTTTTACGATAGTTTAAAGTTTTAGAAAGTTTTGGGTATATATAATATAGTGTAAAACTGTAAATTACAAATGCTCATAACTAGGGTTGTAAAATTTCATGAAATTTATTTTCTTGAAATATTTCATGAAATATTTCATGAAAAATTCATGAAATATTTCATTTCCATGAAAAATATATTTTTTTATTTCCAAGTGAACATTTTTAAAAGTTGGTTTATTGTATGAAATAAAGAAAATATGTAACATAGTTACATACTACATACATAAAAATACACAAACATAGACATATAAAAAACTAGATAACCCACTATAAGACAATTTTGAAGTCAGCCATATGCCAACAGGGAAAAATTGCATGATTGATAATATCAAATATGTATATTGTATATATTTGTAATATATATTATATTATTATGTCATAATATTATATAAATATGTATAGGTATCTTATATTCTTATAATCTTATCTATTGAGTCATTTTTTAAACATATCCCTGTTGGCAAATGGCCACAAGACTTCAATGTTACTGAGTGATAAGTAATAACTAATAAGTAATAATTTAATAATTTATATTTTTATTAGTAATAAAGTAATAAGTGGTAAAAATAGTTTAATAGCCAATAGGGGATTCAATTGATAAGTGATAACTGATAAGTGATAAGTGATTACAAAAATATAAAAATTAATACCAATATACAAATACCTTAGATCATATACAATGGATGGAGTCATAGCATACTACGCGTATAAAATGAGTTGATGCCAACATTACTGTAGGACCTGTGACATCTGCGCATGCGTGACTGCTTATCATAATACATCAATCTGTTTATCTTAACTGCGCGTCTGCAGTGAGACTCTGCACTCTGCGTCTCTGTCCCAAACATTAATGATAAGAGACCACGCGCATGCGCATATCACCGAGGTCCTACAATGATGTTGGCTTCACAAATAGTTCGTATGGCTCTATCCATTGTATATGATCTAAGACAAATACCATATAAAAATATAATTATTAATTTATAATTTATAACCATTGACCATTAACAGTATTTAGGTAGGGTTTTTAATTCGTATACCTTGGTTGATAAATGATACCTAACTGATAAGTTATTCATAATCAATGTTTTCTGTGTTGTATCAATATATTATTTCTAATCACCTATAAACACGTTTAAAAGAAAAAAAAATATTTTTCATAATTTCATTGAAATATTTCAAGAAGAGTGAAATTTTCAATTTTGAAATATTTCAAATTTACAACCCTACTCATAACACACTTAAAAACTGAATTATCCTAAAAAACCTACATACAAACATTGCAAACACAGATAATGTTCTTTAATTCTTACCATCAAGTTTCACAATAGGTTGATTTGCTCTAATATTTAAACTAACAAAGCAAAACGTACTTAATAATAGGTACACAATAAGTGCCTAACTTGGTAAAGTTCTTTACTATAGTTAGTAGGTACCATAGCAATATCACTATCACATCAACACATTTGTACCTACATATTTTGTACTCATACCTCAAGTGCCGTTAAAGTATGCAGTCATCAGTCTAACGCCTGCTGCAATGTATAATAAATAATTATATTAATATTATGTTTATTATTCAATATTTCGTTGTTTTTAAGAATAATATTTTTTTCAGCATGAACGTTTTAAAAATTTAAATTTAAAAAAATGAACATGAGATTATGTTATAGGTGCCTATTACAAGAAACAAGTATAACTAGTATATAGTTTCGTCATTTTACAAAATTATATATATTATATCAATAAGTGTCTAAATATACCTACTCATTTTCGACAAGTCCAATACACTAAAGACTTATGAATTGTCTTAATAGGCCTCATCGCTACTGCCGTCAATTTTAGCTCAAAAGACCTCAAGTTTTGACAAAATTAAAGTTAGTTTAAGTTGTCCAATTTTGATTCTGAAAAATAATTTTAACTCGACAAAAAATTTCTATGAGTTTACCTAACACTTTGTAAAAATTAAATCTTATATTATTGTGAACTGTAAA